CCTTGTATCAGGACACAAGAGGGATGAGTGACAAAAACTATCCACCTTGCATCAAGACACAAGACGTGTGAGTGAAACAAACTGTCCACATTGCATCAAGACACGAGCACAAGACGGGTATGTGAAACAAACTGTCCACATGGTATAAAGACACGTGCACAAGACTGGTGAGTGACACAAACTGTCTACCTTGTATCAAGACACGTGCACAAGACTGGGGAGTGACACAAACTATCCGACTTGTATCCAGACGCAAGACGGGTGAGTGACACTGAATGTCCACCTTGTATCAAGTGACACAAACTGTCCACCTTGTATCGAGACACAAGACTGGTGAGGGACACAAACTGTCCACCTTGTATCAAGACACAAGACGGATGAGTGACACAAACTGTCCACCTTGTATCAAGACACAAGACGGATGAGTGACAGAAACTATCCACCTTGTATCAAGACACAAGACGGATGAGTGACACAAACTGTCCACCTAGTATCAAGACACGTGCACAAGACTGGTGAGGGACACAAACTGTCCACCTTGTATCAAGACAGAAGACTGGTGAGTGACACAAACTGTCCACCTTGTATCAAGACATGTGCACAAGACTGGTGAGTGACACAAACTGTCCACCTTGTATCAAGACACAAGACTGGTGAGTGACACAAACTATCCGCCTTGTATCAAGACACAAGACGGGTGATTGACACAAACTGTCCACCTTGTATCAAGTCCCAAGACGGGTGAGCGACACACACTGTCCACCTTGTATCAAGACACGTGCACAAGACTGGTGAATGACACAAACTATCCACCTTGTATCAAGAAACAAGGCTGGCGAGTAACACAAACTATCCACCTTGTATCAAGACACAAGACTGGTGAGTGACACAAACTGTCCACCTTGTATCAAGCCAGAAGACGGGTGAGCGACACACACTGTCCACCTTGTATCAAGACACAAGGCGTGTGAGTGACACGAACTGTCCACCTTGTACCAATGCACACAACCGATGACGGACACAGAATATCCATCTTGTACGATCATATTACATTCGGTGAGTGACGTCAGAGCATAGTAGTGAGGAGTGTTGAACGCCAGTGAAATAAATGGGACAAAAGTAACGAGGCGACGCAGTGACAGACAACCACAGCATCAATTTCGTGTCGTTTATACTCATCACTGCTTCCAGCTATAGAAAAAGAGATTTATTCTCCTTTGTTAAGTAGTACACAATGAAAAGATGGACAACCGTAGTTTTATTTATACTTCAAAGCAACCGAATCCATTATCCTGCCAAAGAACCTGTGTGCCACTTGCATCACTATGCTATACATTGGTGTTAAATACCTACTGATGTAGAACACAGCAGAAGACTGCATCATACTGGTTGTAATCGCCATGCGTATACATTGACGCAAAAACTTGGCAACCATGAGATCTGATTTTACAATAAACCTTCCAAACAAACCCAGATACATCGTCCAGCTGTTATAAACACTGTACTTCCCAAGTGTAATGCCGCCATGACAAGGCACGCCGAAACCGGATTTATACCAACTCTACGCTTGCCCTGCAACCTTGCATGCTGTGATTCACCCAGGGATTGCCTATAGTGAATCTCCTTAAAGTCAATTAGTGAGTCTTTTTACAAAAAACGACATAGCACAATTCCCTGTACTACCGCTTTTTAAACCTGTTATATAATACTAATCATTTTAACATATGAATATGCATTTATGTATTCGCTATAACATACCTATGGATTTCATGCAACGAAGGTTCATAGTCATTTGAGACGACATTTTATAGATTAAAGGGGAATGGGTAGTCGACCTGCTTATGTGTGAGGATTAAATCTTTGTGTCGTTAATTTTATTTTGTCTGTAATTTGCCTTTAAGCCAACACACTTGAGGCAATTTTGTCATTTTGCCAAACGATGTTTCCTGCCAAATGTCATAATAGCATATAGTTTGGTGCAACCTGCTGGATCCTTTAACGAAAACTTTGTGACATTCATGTTGGTTCCATTACAGATATATTGCCCATTACTGTGTTTACTGGCCACGTCTCTGATATACTTACGTGAACATAATGCACAGACGCCTGCTGATCTCTGAACAGGACATAGGTGGAGCTAACTACTGCTGCGCATCGGGCGCATCTCTCAGCATGGAATTCCATCCATGTATATCTTCCTGTATCTGACTGTATGGAATACTACTGACGTATAACATTCCTGTATCTCACTGCAAGGAATATTACTGACGTATACCATTTCTGTATCTCACTGCATGGTATATTACAAACGCTTATCATTCTTATATATCTCTATCTGAAATATTACTGACGTATACCATTCCTGTATCCTACTGCATGGTATATTACTGATGTATACAATTCCTGTATCTCACTGCATGGAATATCACTAATGTATAACATTCCTGTACCTTACTGCATGGAATAATACTAACGTATAACATTCCAGTATTTCACTGCATGTAGTATCACTAATGTGCAACATTCCAGTATCCCACTGCATTTAATATCACTAAAGTACATGTATAACATTCCTGTATCTTATGTATCTCACTGCCCGGGATATCACTAACGGAAAGCATTACTGTATCTCACTGCAATGAATATCACTAACGTATAACATTCCTGTATCTCACTGCAATGAATATCACCAACGTATAACATTCCTGTATCTCACTGCAATGAATATCACTAACGTATAACATTCCTGTATCCAACTGCATGGAAAATCAATAGCGTGTGATATCCCTGAATACAATTCCATGGAACATCACAAACATATTACATTCCAGTATGTCACTGCATGGAATATCATAAATTTATAACATTCCCAGTATCCCATTGCATTTAATATCACTAATGTATAACATTCCTGTATCTCACTACATGGAATATCAATTATGTATAACATTCAAGTATCTTACTGCTTAGAATATCAATAATGTCTAACATTCCTGTATATTACTGCAATGGATATCCATAATATATAACATTCCTGTATCTCACTGCAATGAATATCACTAACGTACAACATGCCTGTATCTCACTGCAATGAATATCACTAACGTACAACATGCCTGTATCTCACTGCAATGAATATCACTAACGTACAACATGCCTGTATCTCACTGCAATGAATATCACTAACGTACAACATGCCTGTATCCAACTGCAATGAATATCACTAACGTACAACATGCCTGTATCTCACTGCAATGAATATCACTAACGTACAACATGCCTGTATCCAACTGCATGTAATATCAATAACGTCTGATATCCCTGTATATAATTCCATGGAATATCACTAATGTATATCATTTAAGTATCTCACTGCATGGAATATCACTCATGTATAACAATGGGGTCTCTCCCTGCTTAGAATATCAATAATGTCTACTGAGAATATCAATAATTGTATATAACTGCAATGGATATCACTTATGTATAACATTTCTGTATCTCACTTCATAGCATATTACTAATGTATAACAATCATGTATCTCAGTGCATGGAATATTACAAATGTAAAACATTCGTATATATCACTATATAAAATATTACTGACGTATACCATTCTTGTATCCTACTGCATGGAATATTACTGATGTATACAATTTCTGTATCTCACTGCATGGTATCACTAGCGTATAACATTCCTGCATCTCACTGCATGGTATCACTAGCGTATAACATTTCTGCATCTCACTGCATGGTATCACTAGCGTATAAAATTCCTGCATCTCACTGCAAGGAATATCACCTGCATAGAACATTCCAGTTTTCCACTGCATTTACTATTATTAATGTATAACATTCCAGTTTCCACCTGCATTGGATATCACAAACGTATGATATCCCTGTATATAACTTCATGGAGTATCACTAACGTGGAACATTAATGTATTCCAGTGCATGGAAATACCACCGACGTATAACAATTATGTATCTCACTGCCTTGAATACCACTGATGATCAACATTCCTGTATTTCACTGCATGGAATATCACTGATGATCAACATTCCTGTATTTCACTGCATGGAATATCACTGATGATCAACATTCCTGTATCGCACTGCATGGAATATCACTGATGATCAAAATTCCTTTATCTCACTGCATTGAATACCACTGATGAATCACATTCCTGTATCTCACTGCATTGAATACCACTGATGACAACATTCCTGTATCTCACTGCATTGAATATCACTGATGAACAACATTCCTGTATCTCACTGCATTGAATACCACTGATGACAACATTCCTGTATCTCTGTGCATGGAATATCACTGATGAACAACATTCCTGTATTTCACTGCATGGAATACCACTGATGAACAACATTCCTGTATCTCACTGCATGGACTATCACAGATGGACAACACTCCTGTATCTCTGTGCATGGAATATCACTGATGAACAACATTCCTGTATCTCACTGCATTGAATACCACTGATGACAACATTCCTGTATCTCACTGCATGGAATACCACTGATGAACAACATTCCTGTATCTCACTGCATGGACTATCACAGATTGACAACACTCCTGTATCTCTGTGCATGGAATATTACTGATGAACAACATTCCTATATCTCACTGCATGGAATGCCACTTATGTATAAACATTCAAGTATCCCCCTGCTTAGGATATCAATCATGTCTAACATTCATGTATCTCACTGCATGGAATTCCACTGATGCATAACATTCCTGTATCTCACTGCATGGAATACCACTGATGCATAATATTCCTGTGTCTCACTGCATGGAATACCCCTGATGCATAACATTCCTGTATCTCACTGCATGGAATACCCCTGATGCATAACATGGCTGCATGCAATATCACTGACGTAAAGCATCCCTGAATCTCAATGCATTGAACTATTTCTTGCGCATAGCATTCCTGTATCTTACTGCACGGAAAAACACTAGCGTGTACTATCCCAATATGGAAAGTAAGCATCATACCTGTGATCGTGGTCTTCACCAAAGTTGTAAACGTCTAAGACCTGCATCAGTTCGAGCTTTCCTCTGGCTTATAGCATTTCTATAGCTCGCTGCATGTGTTACCATGGAAGTAAAACCTATATCATTACCTCACTGCATGGATTACCACTAAGTAAAACATAAACCATATCTCATTGCTTTGATTACCACTGAAGTAAAACATAAACTATACCTCACTGCATGGATTGCCTCTGAAGTAACACATATGTCAATACCTCACAGCATGGATTACCGCTGAAGTAACACATATATCAATACCTCACTTCATGGATTACCACTGAAGTAAAACATAAACTATACCTCACTGCATGGATTACCGCTGAAGTGACACATATGTCAATACCTCACAGCATGGATTACCACTGAAGTAAAACATAAACCATGTCTTATTGCTTGGATTACCACTGAAGTAAAACATAAACCATATCTCATTGCTTTGATTACCACTGAAGTAAAACATAAATCTATACCTCACTGCATGGATTACCACAGAAGTAAAACATAAACCATATCTCATTGCTTGGATTACCACTGAAGTAAAACATATATCTATGCCTCACTGCATGGATTACCGCTGAAGTAACAAATATGTCAATACCTCACAGCATGGATTACCACTGAAGTAAAACATAAACCATATCTCATTGATTTGATTACCACTGAAGTAAAACATAAACTATACCTCACTGCATGGATTACCGCTGAAGTAACACATATGTCAACACCTCACAGCATGGATTACCGCTGAAGTAACAAATATATCAATACCTCACTTCATGGATTACCACTGAAGTAAAACATATATCAATACCTCCTTGCATGGATTACCACTGAAGTAAACCATAAACTATACCTCACTGCATGTATTACCGCTGAAGTAACACATATGTCAATACCTCACTGCATGGATTACCGCTGAAGTAACACATATATCAATACCTCACAGCATGGATTACCACTGAAGTAAAACATAAACCATATCTCATTGCTTTGATTACCACTGAAGTAAAACATAAACTATACCTCACTGCATGTATTACCGCTGAAGTAACACATATGTCAATACCTCACAGCATGGATTACCGCTGAAGTAACACATATATCAATACCTCACTTCATGGATTACCACTGAAGTAAAATATATATCAATACCTCCTTGCATGGAGTACCCCTGAAGTAAAACATAAACCATATCTCATTGCTTTGATTACCACTGAAGTAAAACATAAACTTTACCTCACTGCATGTATTACCGCTGAAGTAACACATATGTCAATACCTCACTGCATGGATTACCGCTGAAGTAACACATATGTCAATACCTCACTGCATGGATTACCGCTGAAGTAACATATATATCAATACCTCACAGCATGGATTACCACTGAAGTAAAACATAAACCATATCTCATTGCTTTGATTACCACTGAAGTAAAACATAAATCTATACCTCACTGCATGGATTACCACAGAAGTAAAACATAAACCATATCTCATTGCTTGGATTACCACTGAAGTAAAACATATATCTATGCCTCACTGCATGGATTACCGCTGAAGTAACACATATGTCAATACCTCACAGCATGGATTACCAATGGAGTAAAATATAAACCATGTCTTATTGCTTGGATTACCACTGAAGTGATACATAAACTATACCTCACTGCATGGGTTACCGCTGATGTAAAACATAAACTATACCTCACTGCATGTATTACCGCTGAAGTGACACATATGTCAATACCTCACTGGATGGATTACCGCTGAAGTAACACATATATCAATACCTCACTTCATGGATTACCCCTGAAGTAAAACATATATCAATACCTCACAGCATGGAGTACCCATGAAGAAGAAAACTTAAACTATACCTCACTGCATGGATTACCGTTGGAGCGACACATATATCAATACCTCACTGCATGGATTACAACTGAAGTAAAACATAAACTATACCTCACTGCATGGATTACCACTGAAGTAAAACATAAACCGTATCTCATTGCTTAGATTACCACTGAAGTAAAACATAAACTATACCTCACTGCATGTATTACCGCTGAAGTAACACATATATCAATACCTCACTGCATGGATTACCGCTAAAGTAACACATATATCAAAACCTCACTGCATGGATTACCCCTGAAGTAAAACATAAACCATATCTCATTGCTTGGATTACCACTGAAGTAAAACATATATCTATACCTCACTGCATGGAATACCGCTGAAGTAAAACATATGTCAATACCTCACAGCATGGATTACCACTGAAGTAACACCAATGTCAAAACCTCACTGCATGGATTACCCCTAAGTAAAACATAAACTATACCTCACTGCATGGATTACCGCTGAAGTAACACATATGTCAATACCTCACAGCATGGATTACCGCTGAAGTAAAACATAAACCATATCTCATTGCTTAGATTACCACTGAAGTAAAACATAAACTATACCTCACTACATGGATTACCACTGAAGTAAAACATAAACTATACCTCACTACATGGATTACCACTGAAGTAAAACATAAACTATACCTCACTGCATGAATTACCACTGAAGTAAAACATAAACTATACCTCACTGCATGGATTACCTTTGAAGTATAGCACAACCTATATCTCACTGCATGGCTTACCATTGAAGTAAAGCATAACCTGTATCTCACTGTATAGATTAATACAGACGTTTAGAATGGTGTCAGTATAATGATAAATATTCAATTTGTGCTTTCAGTATGATTACCGTGCCGGCGATATTTCGACAGTTTTTAACAGCTTCCTTTTGAAATCATAACACAATAATGATGTGTATGCTTTCCTCTGCAGAAGTACTACAAGGACTACACTTTGTTTACCAAAATAGTTTAAGCGATGAGACATGAGGCACACCCGACTCGTGTGAGTTGTTAAATTATTCGTACATGGCATTGATTTAATTTCAGCCGTTTAAAAAATACACACAAACACTTGGTGAGAAATCACCGCGAGGTTTGATTTGTGCTCCACAATGAACAATTATAGCACAGTTAGAGCCAATTATATCCCCTTGCTAGTCAATTACAGATCATTGGTTATATGTTGCAACACTGCTGGGCACTTGACAGTTGCAGTGAAAACGCGAAGAAGCAAAAATGGAAAAGTGATTTTAGTATTTCAAACAGTTCCGAAATGCACATTAGGTTGGTTACAAAAAACCCACACTGCGACAAGCAGCTTTTGACTTCAAACATACATTTAGGCCAACCAATTGTGTTGTGAACTTAGTGTGTAGGACAATTGTACACATGGGTAGGAGGAAGTAAACATCATGCGTAAAGCAGGATTGTGTTAGGATACATAGCAGCACCACCTGCATCTGTCAGCCTGGCGCCACTACCTGCATCTGTTTATCCTATAAGTGTCAGCCTGGCACTACCACTTGCATCTGTTAATCCTATAGGTGTCGGCCTGGCAGTACCACCTGCATCTGTTAATCCTAAAGGTGTCGGCCTAGCACTACCATTTGCATCTGTTAATCCTATAGGTGTGGACCTGGCGTCACTACCTGCATCTGTTAATCCCATAGGTGTCAGCCTGGCGTCACTACCTGCATCTGTTAATCCTATAGGTGTTGGCCTGGCAGCAGCACCTGTATCTGTTAATCCTATAGGTGTCGACCTGACAGCACCACCTGCATCTGTTAATCCTATAGGTGTCGGCCTGGCAGCACCACCTACATCTGTTAATCCTATAGGTGTCGACCTGGCAGCACCACCTGCTTCTGTTAACCCTATAGGTGTCGACCTGGCAGCACCACCTGCATCTGTTAATCCTAAAGGCGTCGGCCTGCTAGCACCACCTGCATCTGTTAATCCTATAGGTGTGGGCCTGGCAGCACCACCTGCATCTGTTAATCCTATAGGTGTCGGCCTGGCGGCACCACCTGCATCTGTTAATGCTAAAGGTGTCGGCCTGGCAGCACCACCTGCATCTGTTAATCCTAAAGGTGTCGGCCTGGCAGCACCACCTGCATCTGTTAATCTTAAAGGTGTCGGCCTGGCAGCACCACCTGCATCTGTTAATCTTAAAGGTGTCGGCCTGGCAGCTCCACCTGCATCAGTTAATCCTATAGGTGCACTATCTTGTTCAGTATACCCATGCAAGAATTAATCATTAACAGACACCCAGAAACGATTACAACGTGGCAGACAAAGGTCGTTATTTCATTGAACAAACTATAATAGTCTACGACGAGTTGAGGTCGTAAGCCAGGTTCCCTGTTCACCGGAAACATCAATATCATGCATCCATTATGACCTTCACTGCAAACGCGGCCAGTACCTTAGACAATACGTTCAAATCAAATGCACAACTGCCACATAACTGATAGGTAAACTGGTTTTTTTTGTGTCAGTCACGGTGTCCACTTCAAATATTAGCATACAGAGACCGATGAAGTTCTCAAGGCCCTGACAGAAACAAATTCTTTCAACACTGGTGATGAATTACGCATCAAAGAAGAACTTCAGCAATCGGCACATTGGTTGTTGACAACTGAATCGGTAATTGATGAATTCCCTCCAGGGGCCCTTGGAGTCGGTTGTACATGACCCGCATTGGCTGCTCGCAACACTAAACCGACTTCAACTTCTTTCATTTTGGAGAGATTGGACTTTTAATAAGTAATGCTTAGTATCGTACAACGACAATGTGCATATGTAAGAAATATGGCTACGAAATATTAGGTGTAAAACCTCTCGAATAGTGGATAACAGTTTCCTGAGTTTACATGGTACTGGTTTTCAAAACATTAGTTTGTAGCAAAGAACACATTAATAATTCGCATAGAACATACCCTTATTCGTATCTTAGTATTTAACCCATTTGTAAAATGAAGACACTGGTGCATATTTCTACTAAACATTGTAAATTTTGACGATTGATATGGATTATACCAGTACTTGACACAAGACATAGTTTTCTCGAAACGTCACGAAACGGGTACTTGACACTTAAAAAATAGGTATTTGACACATCAGGTAACATTCGGCTACTTGGCACTGGACGGATACTTGAAATAGGACATACTGGTATTGGGCATTGAACATTTGGTACTTGACATTTACCATTTTTTGACACTGGACATGTAGGAAGTTGGCATCTGACAGAAGGACTGCCTACGTGACTGTCGCTCTTTGTCCGTATGAAAGGCAACTTAAACAATTCATCAAGAGACATTTCAGATAACAACACTTGAAAAAGAAGTGCGCGTATTATTCATGAACTTCATGAGCGTAGCCATTTACCACCCTACTGGTGCACATTTCTTTACATGTAGCCATCAGACCTGAGTCACATTTCCTTAGATGACGTAGCTATCAGCCTGAGTCACATTTCTTTATGTGACGTAGTTATCGGCCTGAGAAACACTTCTTTACATGACTTCGCTATTAGCCTCAGTCACTTTTCTGTTCATGACGTAGCTATCAGCCTGAGTCACACTTTTTTACATGTAGCTATCAGCCTGAGTCACATTTCTTTACATGACGTAGCTATTAGCCTGAGTCACTTTTCTTTAAATGACGTAGCTTTCAGCCTGAGTCACTTTCCTTTACATGACGTCGCTATCAGCCTGAGTCACTTTTCTTTACATGATGTAGCTATCAGCCTGAGTCACATTTCTTTACATGACGTAGCTATCAGCCTGAGTCACATTTCTTTACATGTTGTTATCAGCCTCAGTCACATTTCTTTACATGACGTACCTATCAGTCTTAGACACATTTATTTACATGACGTACCTATCAGCCTGAGTCACATTTCTTTACATGTAGCTATCAGCCTCAGTCACATTTCCTTACATGACGTAGCTATCAGTTTGAGTCACATTTCTTTACATTACGTAGCTATCAGCCTGAGACACATCTCTTTACATGTAGCTATCAGCCTGAGTCACATTTCTTTACATGTAGCTATCAGCCTGAGTCACATTTATTTACATGACGTAGCTATCTGCCTCGGTCACATTTCTTTACATGTAGCTATCAGCCTGAGTCACATTTCTTTACATGTCGCTATCAGCCTCAGTCACATTTCCTTACATGACGTAGCTATCAGCCTGAGTCACATTTCCTTACATGACGTAGCTATCAGCCTGAGTCACATTTCTTTACATGACGTAGCTATCAGCCTAGTCACATTTCCTTACATGTAGTTATTAGCCTGAGACATATTTCCTTACATGACGTAGCTATGAGTCTGAGTCGCATTTCTTTACATGACGTAGCTATCAGCCTGAGACACATTTCTTTACATGTAGCTATCACCCTCAGTCACATTTATTAACATGGCGTAGCTTTCAGCCTGAGTCACTTTTCTTTACATGACGTAGCTATCAGCCTGAGTCACATTTCTTTACATGACGTAGCTATCAGCCTAGTCACATTTCCTTACATGTAGTTATTAGCCTGAGACATATTTCCTTACATGACGTAGCTATGAGTCTGAGTCGCATTTCTTTACATGACGTAGCTATCAGCCTGAGTCACATTTCTTTACATGTAGCTATCACCCTCAGTCACATTTATTAACATGGCGTAGCTTTCAGCCTGAGTCACTTTTCTTTACATGTAGCTATCAGCCTGAGTCACATTACTTTACATAACGTAGCTATCAGCCTTAGACACATTTCTCTACATGACGTCGCTAACAGCCTGAGTCACATTTCTTTACATGTAGCTATCAGCCTGAGACACATTTCTTTACATGACATAGCTATCAGCCTAAGACACATTTCTTTCCATGTAGTTGTAGTTATCAGCCTGAGACACATTTCTTTACATGACATAGCTATCAGCCTAGTCACTTTTCTTTACATGTAGTTATCAGCCTGAGTCACATTTCTTTACATGTAGCTATCAGCCTAAGACACGTTTCTTTACATGACGTAGCTATCAGTCTGGGTCACATTTCTTTACATGACGTCGCTATTAGCCTGAATCACTTTTCTTTACATTACGTAGCTATCAGCCTGAGTCACTTTTCTTTACATGTAGTTATTAGCCTGAGTCACATGTCTTTACATGACGTAGCTATCAGCCTGAGTCACATTTCTTTACATGACGTCGCTATCAGCCTGATTCAATTTCTTTACATGACGTAGCTATCAGCCTGAGACACATTTCTTTACATGACGTCGCTATCAGCCTGAGTCACATTTCTTTACATGTAGCTATCAGCCTCAGTCACATTTCTTTACATGCCGTAGCTATCAGCCTCAGTCACATTTCTTTACATGTCGCTATCAGCCTGAGTCACATTTCCTTACATGACGTAGCTATCGGCCTGAGTCACATTTCTTTACATGACGTAGCTATTAGCCTGAGTCACATTTCTTTACATGACGTAGCTATCAGCCTGAGTCACATTTCTTTACATGTTGTTATCAGCCTCAGTCACATTTCTTTACATGACGTACCTATCAGTCTTAGACACATTTATTTACATGACGTACCTATCAGCCTGAGTCACATTTCTTTACATGTAGCTATCAGCCTCAGTCACATTTCCTTACATGACGTAGCTATCAGTTTGAGTCACATTTCTTTACATTACGTAGCTATCAGCCTGAGACACATCTCTTTACATGTAGCTATCAGCCTGAGTCACATTTCTTTACATGTAGCTATCAGCCTGAGTCACATTTATTTACATGACGTAGCTATCTGCCTCGGTCACATTTCTTTACATGTAGCTATCAGCCTGAGTCACATTTCTTTACATGTCGCTATCAGCCTCAGTCACATTTCCTTACATGACGTAGCTATCAGCCTGAGTCACATTTCCTTACATGACGTAGCTATCAGCCTGAGTCACATTTCTTTACATGACGTAGCTATCAGCCTAGTCACATTTCCTTACATGTAGTTATTAGCCTGAGACATATTTCCTTACATGACGTAGCTATGAGTCTGAGTCGCATTTCTTTACATGACGTAGCTATCAGCCTGAGACACATTTCTTTACATGTAGCTATCACCCTCAGTCACATTTATTAACATGGCGTAGCTTTCAGCCTGAGTCACTTTTCTTTACATGACGTAGCTATCAGCCTGAGTCACATTTCTTTACATGACGTAGCTATCAGCCTAGTCACATTTCCTTACATGTAGTTATTAGCCTGAGACATATTTCCTTACATGACGTAGCTATGAGTCTGAGTCGCATTTCTTTACATGACGTAGCTATCAGCCTGAGTCACATTTCTTTACATGTAGCTATCACCCTCAGTCACATTTATTAACATGGCGTAGCTTTCAGCCTGAGTCACTTTTCTTTACATGTAGCTATCAGCCTGAGTCACATTACTTTACATAACGTAGCTATCAGCCTTAGACACATTTCTCTACATGACGTCGCTAACAGCCTGAGTCACATTTCTTTACATGTAGCTATCAGCCTGAGACACATTTCTTTACATGACATAGCTATCAGCCTAAGACACATTTCTTTCCATGTAGTTGTAGTTATCAGCCTGAGACACATTTCTTTACATGACATAGCTATCAGCCTAGTCACTTTTCTTTACATGTAGTTATCAGCCTGAGTCACATTTCTTTACATGTAGCTATCAGCCTAAGACACGTTTCTTTACATGACGTAGCTATCAGTCTGGGTCACATTTCTTTACATGACGTCGCTATTAGCCTGAATCACTTTTCTTTACATTACGTAGCTATCAGCCTGAGTCACTTTTCTTTACATGTAGTTATTAGCCTGAGTCACATGTCTTTACATGACGTAGCTATCAGCCTGAGTCACATTTCTTTACATGACGTCGCTATCAGCCTGATTCAATTTCTTTACATGACGTAGCTATCAGCCTGAGACACATTTCTTTACATGACGTCGCTATCAGCCTGAGTCACATTTCTTTACATGTAGCTATCAGCCTCAGTCACATTTCTTTACATGCCGTAGCTATCAGCCTCAGTCACATTTCTTTACATGTCGCTATCAGCCTGAGTCACATTTCCTTACATGACGTAGCTATCGGCCTGAGTCACATTTCTTTACATGACGTAGCTATTAGCCTGAGTCACATTTCTTTACATGACGTAGCTATCAGCCTGAGTCACATTTCTTTACATGACGTAGCTATCAGCCTAGTC